CTGCTCCCCGAGGGTGGTTATTCGGTGTGTCTATCGCCGGGTATCGCAGCCGCCGGCAGATCGATACTGATCCTGTCGTGCAGCGAGAAGGGAAGGGTGAGCCGTCGTTTCCTGCCACGCGCCTGCTGGGAGTTTGAGTCCCCTCCCGGAGCTCGTCACCCGTGTCCTCCGCGCCAGCCTCGGGGGCGAGCGGCCTTTCCCCAAACGCTGGCTGGAAATTTCCAGTGGCTCACAACAGTCCCGAAACAAAAAGCAGCTGCTGGCCCCCCTCCGGCGCTGCATTTCGGGATACAGAGCTCCTGGCAGACACGCCACGCTCTGCTTCACCGACTGAATTTTAAGCCACTAAGTAAAGTGCTGCACTATGTTTATTGGAGGGGCTGATATTAACTGCGTGTCCAAAATTAGGTGTGTCCATCCTGCAGCGATGGGAAAACATGGGTTTTCCTCTCTAAGATTACTATAAATAAGTATATAGGGTGTAGAAACCACATTGCAAATGTTTAACCTTCTGTAGTTGAGGATGAGCTGAGGTAAATAAATGTGCATCAGGGGTACGCGAAGGGAGGGTGAATCCGTCCTTGCGACGGATTTTGTCCCAAATCCTTCCTTAAATCCAGCTCTCACTTAATGCCTACTGGCTGCTGCTGGCTAGGTAAGCGGTCAACTGAGTTTATCTTTTTTATCCCCTAAATACTTTATTATTTAATCCCCTAAATACTATTTATTTTGTTTCTACCCTCCCTTTGTTGTTCTTTTGTTGTTCTTTTTCTCCTGTCTTTCATGGGGTGACTTCTAGGCTTCAGACTGCCGCGTCTGCAGTCCCCATGGCACAGCAGGGCACAAACTGGTAGCTAAGGGTCTGGGTTTGCTCTGCGAAATTGTCCCCTTGAGAAGGGACAAGGCACGAAACTGGTACAGTCGCAGCAAGTGCCACGGGGCTGGGTGTGCCCAGATCTGGAGTTCACAACTTCATGAGGGTTTTTTTTTTTCTCAGGACTCGGGTGTTTCGTGGAAACTGGAATTTTTACCTCCAACCGAAACGCGGGTTTCAGTAAGATGCGATGGGGCAAAGCGATACGTGCCGAGCGTGGGGAATGTGGGGCAAAACTCAAAGCAGAACAAGCACTGAGCAGAAAGAAGTATCTTTGCCCGATTATGTGATTGCCATTAATGCACTCTAATGAAGCAGGCTGGAGCCCCGTCCTCCGAACACCCATCTTCTCCTGCCAAACCACATTTAAAGTCTCCAGCTGCCATACAGGTGCCCAGATACATTTCTATTTTATTTTTTCATACCTCCTTTTTAGCTGAAATCAATCCTGCCCCTCCCAATGCAGGATTACTTCCTATAATGCATTACCTGATCAGCCTTTCGTAACATTTACCCAGCTGATGTGGCTTTCACCAGCTCTCTTGGGCAATACTCAGAAAGCCAGAGAGGTTTTTAGTCTGGCTGCTCTTCCTGATGCTTAGCAGAAATGGTCCCCGGCTTGCTTTAATTTTATTGCCACTTAGGCATCCTTCATTGCGCCGGCCTAAATAATTCATCTCCTTTTTTTTTTTTTTTTTTTTTGCTGCTGTGTGTGTACTTTGCAGTCCATTGTTACTCCTCAACTATTTCTTAACGAAGCTGCGCATATTTCACCATCTTAAATACAGGTTTCCACAGTTTTGGTCGTGGAGGGATGTTTTATGGGTGGGCTATTGAAGGCTACACTATAAAATTAACCAGCAGTGTAATACCTCAAGTATAAAATTAAAACCAGGGTCAATGACTGTGTAAATGGCCACACATCACTACGTCTGGCAGCAAAAGACCCTGCTGCTGTCACAGCATCCATTAACTCATTTTTCAGGGGATGCTACGACCTTTAATGCCTTTAAGCGTTAAGGCTTCGGAGGCCGTAAGCAACCTGTGGGATGGACTTTGGAAACCCTGTTTTAACAACTCATCGTGATCCACTCCTGCCAAATTACAGATCGCTCTTGCTCTGCGTTTAATTAATTTCATTAATGAGATCCTCTGAACGACACTAGGATCAGCCTGTCAGCCCTGTCTTAGGCGCCGCCTCTGAAATCCCAGAGAATTGATTCATTTTTCTTCCCTGCCATTTGTAAAGTGAAATCTGTGTTTGCAATCGATTACTGCTGCTTCTTCCAAGCAATATTTTCCCAAGAAATACCTGTATTTGGGTTTACTTGCCAAGGAAATCAAGGCATTGCTACACATTTTCCCAAATAAAAACTTCTTGTTTTGTTTTCTGCTCTGTTTAGTATCTTCTTCTCTGCCCTGCTGGTATTTATAGCTTCGGCTAAACTAGTGTTAGCTTTATTTTGTTAATGCAGAGAGAGTTTTCTTCAAATCTTCAATGAGACTGTTAAACAGAACCAGGTATACCATCTTTCTTTGGTGTTTCATAAACTTGCTGTTTCAGGGCAGATTATTTTTAACTGGAAGGATCTAAGTTACCATTTTTTATCTGAATAAGTAACCAGACAAATCCTGTTAAAAATTGGCTTTATATATATATGTCTTAAGGAAAGATCCATGTCTCTTTGAACACCATATAAACATATTTATAACTTTAGACTTTCCATTAAACTGCATTTTTTGGCTAAAAAGGATAGACTACAGTTGTACCCATTTTTCAGAGTGGTTAAATACATAGTAATATTTGTGCCATTCCTTTACATTTTACTTATGTTGGCAAATCGCAACTAATGCTTTTTTTTTTTTTTAATGAGTACTTGTACACTTGGGGTTTTTTTGCCAAGTTGGGCAAAACAGGCACTCAGTTAAATTATGTATACAGAATTTTATTTATTAGCTAATTAAAGCACTCTTAAATGTGATGAATACGTAAGAGGGGAAGTAACCTTATCCAAAGCTCCTCTACATTTGAAATGATTAAACAAAGGAATTGTTCTGGATAATGAAGGAACTGAGCTGATGGTTCCAAATATGTGAAGGCATCGGTAAGTGAAAACAGGTAGATGTTGTCATTTCACACGCTCTTTCTTACCTTCCTGCTGCGTCAACCTTCATCGCTCTCCCAGGTTCTAACCAATTATTTGCTGAGCTAAACTCGTGGGCCAGAAGACTGTTACAGAAGTGTTCTCTATGCATCTGTTGAGGGTGCTCCTGTGAGTAAAACCCAAGGTCAAATTTACAAGCCCTGGTCGGCTGAAATGCTCAGTTTGACTTTTCCAAAAAGTTCACCACTGCTGGTTTCTCTCAATTTACATCACCTGAAAAGATTATGCCTTTAAATCAACCGCAGATTTTTTTTCCCCCGTGATATTAAATACATCTGGTTTAAAAAGAAAGATGTGTTCAAATACAAGTCACTCTAAAAGCACAAAATAAATCCTGTGCTCTTCGGCCAGATTCGCATCTTCAACTCTCAAATTAGATCTCCAGCTGATCTAATTTGAATGAATGTTAAGTGCTACTTGGGGAACAGCTCCATGAAGGGCTTTACTGTAATCCTCTGCTTCCAAGAACCGTAAGCCAATTGGTACTTGTCCTTCGTGACTGCAGGTTATAGCCACCCATGTCCAAGATCAGATGCTCTCTTGGTACCTCCCTTTTGTGGAAATGCCACCAAGCAGGAGCGATTTCCGTGCTGTATTCTTGGAGAACCTTTATATTGCATTAGAAAAGTACCCAGGCCTGATAAACGGGGGTAGGGACTGCAAATGCTGGTTGGATGAGCAAAGAGAAAACTGACAACCCATTTAAGTTTAATTTTTACAGGTTTATGAAAAACTTTTTTCATAAACATGCTTATGAGAAGAAAGCAGCAAAGATTGACTTTCTTTCCCCAGCTACTGTCAAGTACGTTGGTTGGTCAATGCATTCAGTCCAGGTTGATGATGAATCCAGTAGACGTATATGTGCTCATTTGTGCTGCGGTTTTGGGTCTTCCGAGGTTGCCAGACGATCAGATTCATCTTCACACTATAAAGATACAAACCTGCAAGTAATGGGACGAATTAAGCAAAAGCAGATGATTAACTTGTCATATGTTGATTCCACTTGATGAGCGACAGCTGTGGAATAGTTATCCTGCAGCCTTATCCATGGGCCAGATGTTTGCATCATTAAACGTTTGAAATTTAATCCAGTGCGGGGGCAGTGGGGAGGTCCAAAATAAAAGCACGCTGGCGTCCTGGGAGACTGAAATCCAGCCTGTGGGGGTCTGTAGACTGCAGAATAGCCATAAGCAGAATAGGCTGGTCAGTGTCTGAGCAGCGTCCAGAGATGGGAGAGGAGCAGAGCCCACGCGGGGAGGGGGTACCGCCGTGTCTGCCGAGCTCTGTGCTACTACACCCTACTACAACTCTTCCAACGCCGGAGCTAAAGCTTGGTCAAATTTCTGATGCTGTTGCTGGCAGCATAGACGTGGTCTTCAGCTTCGAAAAGCTCATGTTACTGCCATATTTTGTTGGCAGCCTCCATTTTGAGACTGCTGATAAAGAAACCAGTTACAAGGTATTTTAACGTTATCTGTTCAGATTGGACTGAGACGTCTGCCTCTCATTCAACTTACATAGCCAGTGAGTCTTTGGATCAGAATAAACCTAGGGTGGATGTTAAGTTTGAAATGAAAACCTGTATCTTTGGACCATCCGGTGGTCTTTAGGCCGTGACTCTTGACAACGGGCTCTGCCAAGTGAAGCCTGTCACATCAAGGGAAACATCTCGCTCTGCAGCTGGCTAAGGCTGGCAGAGAGCATGAGAAGACTACTCCTGTGGTGTAGATAAGCAGGCTTGGGCTCAAAAATCTGAAAACATGACCTATGAAGAAAGAACAGAAAAATTTGGGTTGTTTAGTCTAAAGCAGCCTGAGGGGTAGCAGAGATGGGAAGCAACGAACGTGGCTTTTGGGGTCACTGCCAGTCCTGCTTCTACAGGCTGTGTTATTTGCAGGGAGATGTAGGGAACGCTTCTGCTTGATGAAACTTGGAATAAAGTAAAATCCATTTTACTTTTTGTGAATGTCAGATCGAGCTCGTAGCAACGCTTTTACAGACGTATTGCAAGCCCTTAGGGGAAAAAATACATGGCAGCCACTCATACTATAGAATTAGACCAGTTGCAGCCTCTATATGATCAGTTTTAAACAGCCCTGGACTCTAAATTGGGTAGAAGTCTTCAGGAGTGGGACGTACGCTGAGACTACAGTGCTAAGGGGAGTTTAGCACTGGAACAAATAGTTTTTTCTAGGGTATACTTGGCTGAGGTTAGTCACAAGGATGGTCTTTGGTCATGGGCATAGACAGGGTGTTGTGTCGGTCTACGCATGTGTCTTTATTTGCCAGTTTTGTTGGATACATGGGACTAAGGGATACACAGGCAAAGCATTCAGTGGATTTAGAGATCTGCTTCTTTCCATTAATTATTGTGCAGTGAAATATACACTGTGTGCTAAGGGCTAAAGCGGGTTAGAGAACAGAGTGGAATGTTAGTCTTAAACGAGAAGTGAAATACAGATTCTCCTTTGACCTGTTCATTAACTGCCTTCGGGTGAGCAAGTCTTTCACAGCAAAATGTGCTTGCTATCTGGAGACATATTTGTTTTAGCCATTACCCCCATTATTTGAGTTTTAGCAGCCATAAAAGAATTGATATTTCAGCACAAGATGACGTTCTTCCTATCTGTATTTTGCTGTGACTCTGGAGCTGATAATAGTGTCATAGTGTCTATGATTGTTCCATGACTAGTTAGGAAAATGCCTGCACTTAAATTTAATTTTAAGGGAGCTGTTTGGCAGCTTTCTGTTGAATTACCGTAGTTACTACAGCAAGAGCTACCTCCTACCTCTCTGCAAGCAAACATCGATGGGTTTCCTGCTGATTAAGTCAACAGTAAAACTGGGAATGAACTGTTGATTGATTTGGATTCAGCAAACAAGGAAAAACAGATTTGCAGGTCCTCAGCTAGCAGGAATGAGGGCCCAGCTTTTCAAGGCAGCTGAGCTGATCTGCAATGGAAGGGGCTACATAGCTCCTTCCTCTTCCCTTGCACCAGCCTTGGCATTCATCTGGTTCCAAAGTGTAGCAGAAACATATCCTGAATAGAAAACGATGTTTTTTCTCCCTAAACTGGCTCACTGTGGGGTCAGGTAAGTGCCAGAGCTGGTGTAAGGGAGGAGGAAGATATGGTGGAGGGCGAAGGGAGGTATGTCCCTTCCAGAGGCAGTGATGCTTAATTGCACTATAAAATCACACCCTCCATTCGTCTCAGCTGATTGCAGAGGAGTTGTGTGGAAACTACGTCAACTGGGATATGGCCCCAATTAATTAGGAAATGTTTTCTAAGGTAAAGCACGTTGGAAGGAGAAAGCCCGGTGGTTTTTTTACTGAATGGAACTGCAGGCTGTTGCGTGCTTACAGCGGCACTGCTCGCTGGCTCCCTGCTAGGCTGACTGCACTCAAATGTGCATCAGGGGATTCTGCTGCAACAGCTTTGTTGCTTTATTTACATCTTCAGATGCCACGGAAGATGTTGGGATGTGTCCTGTCCAGTTTTTTCCCCTCTACATTCTGTGTTCATGAGGGAGATGGGATCAGGTGAGCCCAGGACATAACTCCTGCTTTGAAGTCAGCAGTCAGTCTGCTGTAGGCATCCGTGGGAGAGATTTCACTTCTAGCATGACTGTAAAGTTTTGGAAGACTCATGATTTCTGGCGCTAAACTGAACTAAACAAAGTCCTGTTCAAGTCTGTTAGGAGAAAAAACACCCTTACGCTTGTTCTCAAGATACAACCTCGAAAAGTAATTCCCCACTTCTAATTTCTATGCTGAATTCTTGCCATGTAGTTACCCTTATATATTTAGGACTCTTTATCTCCGTAGTTTAACCTTTCAAACAGGTAAATGCAGCTAAATGTGTGGTGATGGATTTTTTTTTTTTTTTTTTTTTTAGAATTAGTCCCAGCATCGTGACTTTTCCATCATGTCAGAACCCATCACGCTCAATGTTGGAGGAAAACTCTATACCACCTCTCTGTCCACCCTGACTAGCTTTCCAGACTCCATGCTGGGGGCCATGTTTAGCGGGAAGATCCCAACCAAGAAAGACAGCCAAGGCAACTGCTTTATTGACAGAGATGGCAAAATCTTCCGCTATATCCTGAACTTCTTACGAACTTCTCACTTGGACCTCCCTGAAGACTTTCAAGAAATGGGCTTACTTCGACGGGAGGTAGATTTCTATCAAATTCAACCACTGATTGACGCCTTGCAGGAGAAGGAGGTGGAGCTTTCTAAAGCGGAGAAGAATGCCATGCTCAACATCACCCTCGATCAGAAGACGCAGACTGTTCACTTCACCGTCCGGGAAGCACCCCAGATCTACAGCTTGTCTTCCTCCAACATGGAAGTGTTCAGTGCTCATATCTTCTCCACGTCATGTCTGTTCCTGAAGCTTCTCGGTTCCAAACTTTACTATTGCTTCAACGGAAACCTCTCTTCAATATCCAGCTACCTGCAGGACCCCAACCATTTGACCTTGGATTGGGTTGCAAGTGTGGAAGGCCTTCCCGAAGAGGAGTACACCAGGCAGAACTTAAAGAGACTCTGGGTGGTGCCAGATAATAAGCAAATCAATAGTTTCCAGGTGTTTGTGGAAGAAGTGCTAAAAATAGCCATGAGTGATGGTTTCTGCATAGATTCTTCTCATCCACATACTTCAGATTTCATGAATAATAAGATTATTCGCCTAATTCGGTACAAGTAGGAATGGCTGTTTATTATGGTGCCAGCATGGAGATAACACAGGTTAAGTGTTTCCCTTTAAAACACACTTACAGCCTAATTCAGAATCATGCTTACCTGGATTAAGAGTCACTAACAGGGAGATGATTTTCCTTTAATGTATTTACCAATACGACCTTTCAGAATATGTCCATATTCTAGACGGAAGGAATATTGTCTAACACCTGAATTAAGGATCGGTTCTGTCTCTGCCTCCACCTCTGACCTGCCATACAATTGTGGAGAAAATCACGTAACTTCTGTCCTTACATTTTCCAGTTGGAAAATGGGCGTGATCCTTAACCTATATTGCCAGGGTGATGTGAGGGTTCAGTAATCACGGTTTGGAAGGTAGCTGGAGATCAGATGCAGTGAAAGATGCCACGGAGCTGCAAGAACAGCAGACAGCCCGGGGGGCGCGTTTTCCATGTCTTGCCATATCACCTGTGCAGAGCATCCAAGAAGCCTTGGATCCACAGAGGGGAAGCCTCCCCACACGCACGCACTCAATATAGCTGTAAAGGATGGTGCAAACTGCAAATGAGTACAGATCCTGTCTGTTTGGGTTCAACAAAGGATTTCTGTCACCATCTGAAGCTGATGGTTTTTTTCTGAACCCTGTGAGGAAGCCCCTGCTCTGTTCTGCTTTCAGGAGGGCGTGTTTGAATGATGTGACTGGCACGGGGAATGACCAAGGAACCCATAGCAGAGAGAATGATGTTCTTACAGACTGAGAAGATTGTGGCTGGTGGGGGAACTTTGCTTTGGATGCTCTTAAACCTTTACTTATACATTCCAAAGGCATCCAAGACAACTAGTCCTTTTCTTTCTCTTACAATCTTCTATTTGTCTGGAGGATGCTGCTGAAACTTTCTGAGGCGGAGACAGATTTGGGGGCAGAGGCCCCCAAATATCTTCTAAACGTTTGAGCCTCTTCTGCCTGGACATGGCCTTCTTTTGGGCACGTCTCCCTTCAGCAGTGCCTGGAGTGCATGGGATGCTCTCTGGGTAGGATGGATTCCATCTGAAAAGACAACATTCCCATCAGGTTACGCCTAGTGTTTTTCATTACAAAAACAGAGGCTCGCTTTTCCTATCCTGGTGCATTGAGCCATATTTTTTACATCACTGTGAAATGGTCAGATGACTAAGCTAGCATTTTACCCGCTTGCTTGGCTTTAGTGTCAGATTGTCAGAGGAAAGGCAGTGGGAAACCAGAGGTGATGACAATGGTCAAGCTCTTTCCTACAAGCCCGGTCTGTGCTATAATGAAGATCATAATCCACTACCTGCACGTTAGCTCTAAACATCATTTGTGCCACATTCAAGGTGGTTCATTCTCAGCTAATTATGTTTAAAAATATCTTAGCTGTCTTTCCCTAACCAGATTGCTACATGTGCATGAGAGACCCTCTGGAACATTTCCCGTTATCTCTAATGAGATAGAAGGGAAAATGCAACAACCAAGTTCTGCATTTAGAATTTCAGTGCTTCCAAAAGTTCTTAGCACAGGGCTGCAAAGCTCAGTATGCTCATGTTCTTGTTTCCCAAAGTAACTAGCCCGTCGTTACATTAAGCTGACCTGTGAACAAGCATAAAGAAGCATTTTGTTCCTGTTGTAAAATACAGCGAGGTAAATAAATTTCTACTGTCCCAAGCTGTAATTGCATGAACAACACAAATCAGCATGCTGATGGTAAAAATGCACATTCTGCAGCTATTGGCAGCCCGTAACAAACCACTTCCCCTGTCTGACTTGGTGCTAAACCAGCATGATATACGTGGGACCACGTTGTTAGGAAGCACTGACTGTGCTTGAAGCCCTCAGAGCCATTAAACCTGGCAAGTTTTGTGAATTTTGAGGAGTATAAACAGGATTTTGTGGCTAAATTCCAACCTGAGTCACCATGTTCTTCTAGTTTTAGTTGCATTAGGAGGAACTTTTTTTCCCCCATCCCTGTCCTGAATTATAAAGCAGGAATAATCTGTTCCAGGGGTTGCTGCATGCCACTGATAAAGCAAAGCAACTCCTGTGTGAATCTTATTTCTGACATGAGTTTGCCAGCCAGTTGGACATTCACAGTGATGATCTATGCAGGTAATATGATTATGATCTGTAAAAATACCATACAGGAACCCTCTTTCACCAAATCTATGCCTTGAAACAGATACGTCTCTGCTGGATTTATGCTAACAGAGCTTTTGGGGGCTGTTGGCAGTATTTCTTTTTAGCCCACGCCCTTGAGAGTAGATTTTAAATGATCTGTAATGGGAGTTCTTGTATGTCAGGATTAAAATAATACTTATCTGTAGTAATTTGTTTCCTGTCAGCTTGAATTTCTCCAAGGGCAAGAGCAGTGGACTTAAATCTCATCTGGAAGGGGGAAGAAGTCTGATCTACGCCCTTTAGAGCTCTGGATCGGTACTGCTCCATTCAGTTTCAGCAAAATAAAACTATTCCCTGGGAGAGTTGAATCATTACTGCATTTTCTGGTGAAAGGCATGTTAAGAGGAGTCCCCAGAAGCACTATGCATAGCTTAATCTAGAGCATTTACTCTTCCCCTTTGCCCTCATCCCCTTTTCTTTTCTTTGGACTGTAGCAGCACCCACACTAAAAGCAGTTACACAGTTTCTTAACAGTCTAAACAAGAAATGAAGAGTCCCCCACCCTGGCCTGGACAGTAACTGGGGTAATTCTGCTGACATGGAAATATGGGTCTGAATCCCCACAGAGCGAGGAGAGAACTGAACCTGGGTCTTCTCCTGGAGTTATTTAACCCATCTGCCTATTACGCAAAAGATGGACCACTTGAATACACATTTATCTGTGCTTGGGTAACTAAATCAGGCAAAGGTACAGCTGGCCACAAATCTTTGTCATTTATTAGTATGCAGAGAGATGCAAAATATCACTCTTCTATATGCAAAGAGATGCAAAATTTCTAACAAGTATAAAGACATGAGTGAAGACAGGCTTTGGGAGGAATAGAAAAAGTTGAGGTACCTCTAAATTGCTAAGGAGAATAAACATCTTTAAGCAGGAGATACTATTTATAATGCCACAGTCGTTCTGCATGCTAATCCAGTACGTGAAATAAGCGGTAAGTGAATCACTTGCGACTGCAGTCAAACATATGTTACACAAACGCAGTAGCTATTTCAAACTACACACTAAGCTAAATTCATAGCTGCTCCGTAATTTTGCAGTCTGTGAGTTACGTTATAATGCCTGTTTATAGGAATGTTCTCTCTCCAAAACATTTGTTCCCTTTTTATCTGGCTGGCTTTTGTTTACCTTCTTTTTCTGAGCCCTAGAGGTGTAACTTGTTTTTGTTTACCAGTCAACAGCACTGATGATTCTTCTTCTCAGGAGTTTTCCTGAATTAAAGTGAACATAAACAAAGCCATATTAAGGTCAGCGCAACCCCATCGCTAGTCATGAAAAGCACTTGGCATTTATTAGCAGTAACGTCTAAAAATTATTTCACTGTTGAGTGGAATATTCACTCTCAGAACAAACTAATTTTTTTCCTGGAAGGGCCCGAGAACAAGGAAAGGATCTAGTGAGGTTTTTTCCCTTGAAGTCTGAAGGGTGCTTGCTTCCACATCTCGGTGCGTAACTCCTGTTCCGATTCTGCCATACGCCTGCCTCCCTCAACACCTTCATGCACAGAATGAGGCTAAAAGTCCTGCACTTTTTTTTAAATGGCCTAAACGCTGAGAGCGCCACTGAATAGAGCGATCAATAGTGTTAGAGCAGAAAAATACCAGAGTTAGGGCAGATGATAAATAAGTTATTAGCTGTAGTCTAATGGCATTTTCGGATATGGGCATGTGCATAGCACAGTGGGATTTCTTATATGACGAAAAGATTATTATGAAGCATCTCAGTGGAGCCCAGAAGGAATCACTCATGGATTTCTCTTATGTGTTTTTAGGCTTGATAGCTCTTAAATATCTCACAATGTCCAGTTATAATGAAGGGACTGAAACCATACATAAATACTAAGACATCTTTAGTTCATCAGCTGTTGTTAAAGGTCATTAGGAGTCAGTGAGAGGAGTGTTTGTTGCTGCAGGTGATGGTAGGGAAATAAAAGAAACACGTGTAAAAAGTTAGACCTGGAAGAATTCACATGTTAACAAGAAATCCAGGATTTAGAAGGGAGAGACTAAAGAATCTTGATGTGTTCAGGAAAAAAACCCAGCAAGATAACAATGGAGTCAAAGATTTTGCTACGGAAGGAGGCTGTGATTAGAATGACTCACTGGTCCTTTCCAGTTTTAATCTCCTATTACGGAACTTAAATATCGGTCATGCCAAGAGTTACGCTAGTAACTCGTCAGGAGCAGACAGCTTTGCTTCAATTTGCACGTGCTTTACAGCACCAAACACATGCACTGCTGTAGTTACCCCTGTTTTAACTGGGTTGCCGAGTATAAATTGCTGCATGAGTTCGCTGGCAGTAAATACCCGCAATCAATCAGATTTATTCCCACTCTAGGAAAGGCTGGTGGGGTCCATATGTAAGGTTGATGGGAGTGATAAATATTGCCTTCAGCCTGTGCCATAGACTGTGGAAAATAAACCTAGAATCTTCTGATACTTCACAGATAAATGGAGAAGTTACGAAGAAGACGCCTTTGAGGAGTTTCATTTTCATCCCACCCCTTTGAATTTGGTGTCACTGCTCAAAATTTCAATATATTTTGAAATATTTAACTGCCATTCTGTAATGACTCCCATATCCACACACTGATGGACACAAACATGCAGGGTACAAGCAGTGCTAATATGTGGCCCTCCCCGTAAAAGTCTCATATGTGAATTAGTACAGGCAGTCATGTAGATATTCTGTGTGAGGGCTGGATCGAGCATAAATATGCAGATCATGCTCCCAGATTCACTTGGAAATAACACAAGGGATGGTTTCCCTATGAATTCAGAAAAAAAAGGAGCTATAGGGGAGGGCTGTATGGAACAATTCCTTTTCTCTTCCTCCTCTTGCCATTCCCCTCCCTGTTATTTTCTTGTTCCTACTCCTAACTGTAGGATTTTCCCGTTGATCAGAATTTGATCCTCAATTCACTAAAAGCCACGCTTTTGAATGAATACTATTTGGAAAGTGTCAAAAGATGTTTTTTATTTCTGACCACTTTCATAGAGAGCCTGTAGGGCTATCGCATTTAAAAATCTGGTTGCATTTCTCTGCCTGTAACTCTTTTGTGAACTAATATGTATTTTAGAAAACAGTAAATAAAATGTGAATGAAGCTCTGCCTGACATACATTTCTTGAGAGAAAAGCATGCAACAATGTTTGCTGAATCTATAGCTTTTCCTCTCTCTAAGGATTTTAAACAGTGCATCCCCGTGGCTGAGAATTTGCTCCCCCAAAATGTGCAGTTTTAGAAAACTTGGATGAAGAAGCCTTCCTAAATAATCAAAACCATTTAAAATGCATTAGCTCATTTATGTTTCAAACGTTTATAAACAGAGGATTCATTTCTCCAGTGAAAACCCTTCTAAACCCTAATGCTTTACCGCTGTTGAACTTGTCTCTAGTCCCCAAGTTTGAACCGACCATAATATATTGCTGCTGTACAGGAAAAAATAAGTTTCACGTATTATCTATATGATTTCATGCAGCCCCTACAAGGTACTATTC